GCATCATAAACATCCGCAAAAGTCTTGTGTCTATCACTTAATACTGTTGTCATCAACTTTCCAAATACATCCATCAGTGTATTCCACTATAATTATTGAAATCATTTACATTATCATCCTTATGCAGAGGAACTATTATACCCATTGCCCACTCGTAAGGGAATACACCACTATGCATAATCCTATTAAAAACTATAGTTAAGTATAGTATGATTGAAGCAGTGCAACATTTCACCATTTCAGGAAGAATTCCATCCGGTCCAGCCGATTTACCCAGTTTCAAGTCATGATACTTCTTCTTCAGTTATATCAGCATTAAGGCGATTATTCATAACATCTTCATTACAGTAATCATGGTAATTGCACTCATCAATATCATGGCTGTTCATAAAGTTTCTGCCTCATCCAGATTGTCCCCATCCACAGGTATATCAGTTAAATTAAACACATGCTGGAAATATACGATCCACTGCATATTGATTATACTGGGCTCCCTGTCACAGAAGGTGAAGAAATAATATTGTTGACGCGTCCCCAAAAGGATTTACCATTTTTTTGCTATTATTGACCAAATCATTTATACAATGTTCATCATGCTCCAATCTCTTGTCTACACAGTTCTCTATATTTATCCTTAATTACAAAATATTCCTTCAAAAGTTCCTTACTTCCTGAGATTCTGAATAGATCAAGTTTAATCAATTTTGTCTTTTTAATTTCATACACTCATCATCGTACCAATTCTTACTATCCTTAGTCCGGCAAACAGTACAATACTTCTTTTTTAAAAGGCCACAGGACTCAGCACAAATATGTAATACGTTCATAAACTAATCTTTCTACCGCAGACTCGATATTAAGTAGAACCTGGTCTCTGTCACTGTCTAATACATAAGGTGATAACATATCGAAAAGTTTCAATAAAAGCGTCCTTCCAAATATATCTTCGTATATCTGACAGTATTATTTTCCTCGTTTTCCTCCCCGTTCTCTGTTGTATGTAGTATGTACTTGCAATGACATAACAATTGGAAAATGATCAGACCCACACCGTGTACATACAGTAAAGTCGATATCTCTGGTAAGGCGACATTTTTTTTATTTGTTGGTTTACGGATGCACCGCTCTTTCGAAGTCCAAAAGTTAAAAAAAAATAAAAATGAAAATTACCCTCTTTTTTTTATTACCGCCGATCTTTTCGACAAAAAGTTCAAAGAAAAAAAAAATTTCTTTTCCTCGTCGAGCGTAAAGCAAAGGGAAGTCACTCTGATATTTCTTGCTGGGATCCTTCTCTAATACCATCAAAGCTTGTCCATGCAAAGCGCAGTGGTGACCAGTTTAACTATTTCAACACTGTTGGCCGTTCAAAGCCACAAGTCACACCGCACGGTAAACCGTCCAAGCAACGTCAAAATAGTTTATAATTATATTAACCTACTTGTCATATAAATCATTTATTAAATCTATCACATTTCACAATGTCTGAAATACGTATTCCATTTGATTTTATCATTTTTTTATCTATAGATTAAAAATATATTCACTTGACACTATTTCCCGCAATGTTATTGAAAATAAAATTCTCGGACACATTCGACAACGGGTCCTCACGGGCTGAAACGTCTTTATTTACAAAGTAATAAAATCATCAAAAATGTATCTTTAAAAGTTGCCAAACTGACATCTTAGTTATTATTTCCAACTTTTCATGCGATCGCATATCGTAAGTCAAATGACATCTCGGCTTTCATCGCCTGGATTTCTCGGCTCGGACACGATGTCCTAATGCCAAAATATATGCATAAGAAATCTTTGTCACAGCTCGTAGCCTAGCTCTATGCATCCATAAAGTTCCATATTTTTAATATAGATCGCGATATCATGCTAAAACGTTCAGAATAACATGATTTAACCCAAACCTTTCGCCAAAGTCTGAAAATTATCGTTGCTGTAATTTGATTAGCTGCCTTAGGTCACGTGCTTAAATATGACCAATCACGAACCTTGTAGCAGATTTTGTCGGTGAAACAATATAAGTTTTTTTAATGTATACTGACATGGCAGGACGTATGTGTTATTCATACGAAGCTTTGAAAACCGAGGTATTTCCTCATGTTAGTGAGCGGACAGCCACTATCATCGGGAAATGGGTGATGACATATTATTTGTAATTCTTTTTAAAATAATGTTCCAACAACGTAAACAAATGAAAATTAAAAAGAAATAGGTAAGTGGATTTTATGAATTCTTATATTTGCCGAAAAAATCGTTAGATTTGCGCTAAATTTGGACGTTATGAATGTTTTAGCTTACATTATTATTTATTTAAAACGATCTTTATTTAGTTGTTCATGAATTATTTAAATACCGTATTTTCTTGAGTATAGTGAGCACTTTTTTTCGAAAAAACACAGCTGTGTAGAAGGGGGTGCGCATTATACACGAATTATGAGTTTGGATGTTTTTTCCCCCCATGGAAAGACATTACCGTGAGCACGAAACACCGGAAATACCATGTCAACAAATCCATACTGAAGTACGCAAAATACTTATGTAATTACACTGTCTGGCTATAAAAAGTGTTCTTTTTATATCTGGACTTATGTTTGTAACTTATTTCATCGATTTTATTCAAAATTCCTTATAATATTGTTTTTATTAATTTCGGCGAAATCGTGTGTGAAGCGATCGGAAGATCGCATAACTCACCGTTATTAGCAGCAACCATGGTCAGAATACCGCTATTGACGCCTTGAAACAAACTTTAGTTGACAGAGAATGGATACATATATCATAAATTACATACTTTGCCTCGTTAAAAGTCATATTTGTTTTTGTTTGACGATTCTATGTCAACATGAAATTCTCGCGATCACGTGATCACGTGCGCGTGAGCCTTGACGGTGACTGGTCAGACATGTTCCATGTAAAAAATAATACCCGGGAATAGCGATCAGCTGCTTCGCTTAGGGTTATCATTATTTTAAATATGTTTAGTAAAGGTTGCATATAATTAAGAAAATAATGGAATATATTATTCCTGATAAATAAAATAGTTTCAGATACAATTGTTGCCGATCCTTGCATTAAAAATCTTATAAAGTTATATCATTGGGTGTGTCTTGACCGAATCACCGGTCGATTCCAAGAAAATGTGTGTACAGCTGATTGCTGTTTCCAGCTTAGTTAACGAGAAAATACGCAAGGTAATCTTAATCCCTAAATATAAAACAATGCCTAGCAGAACAATAAATACTTTTTAACGGTAAATAAACATGTCTGGTGATTTTTTATCTCAAATTTCGAATTTGTACTGACGAAGTTTCTCAGCACCCTTTCGTTTGCCGGACTTCGCTGAAAGGGTACGGTGTAAAAAATTTCTGCGCATAATATTCAAATTTATTTTTTTCCAAAATATTGAACCCGCTAGAGGGGGGTGCGCATTATACATGGGTGCGCACTATACTCAAGAAAATACGGTAATGAAATACACATAACTTTCATATTTATAAACAATAGGATTAATTAGACCTTTCAAATAGTGTATGTTATATTCAGCAGATAATTCCTTGATAAATGTTGGTTTCATCTATCACACAACAGTCTCTGGGAACTTGGTGTTACAGCAGTAATCTTCTGGTTGGCTGGTGTTGAAAGAGTTAAACGTTGCCCATGCTGCCAAAATAGCAGCGTCTTTCATGCATTTCCACCCATGACATGAATATTGTTATGTTGCCATCCTTGCACAAGCTGAGTGCCTGGGATATAATAAAATGTTCTTGAAAAATTTAGTTATTTTACTTTTATGATTCAGGTAAAAAAAATGTGAGAGGCTTTTTTTTCTTTTTTTTTAATTTGCCTGCCTCACTTTTGAAATGAGTTTGAAATCCGTAAACCAAGAAATAAAAAAGTGTCGCCTAAATAAGTCACTTGAACTTGAACATAAACAGTAATCAATCAAACTTGCTCCGTCTCCTTTAAAACAAGTGAAGCTACCGTCTGAATCCCCCGAACATCTCCCATTCAACATGTGAATTAAAGAAGTAAGCATCAACCTACCAATATTATCCTCACAATGCTACGATACTTAACCTCAGACAAGAAGCAAATCGTGACGAATTTTATTGTTTACAGTAGCTTGTCGTATATTGAATCTTGATCGTCCGCCATATCGTTTTCTTGTGACAATCGGTATTTGTTTATCGTCAATAATTAAGTACAGATGAAAAAGATATTCAAATAACTATTGCTATCAACAATGTTTCAGTATTTGTGGTTATATTGTCTGTCTTTTTAAAAAAAATCTTTAGTATAAAAAATATCTTTTCCCGTGAGGTCACGTGATAACCAAATATGGAATATAGTCTCGATCCAAATGTAACAACACATACACACGAGCAGATTCAACTCATGAATATTAATATTAGATGACTGACCGTTCACTATGTGTACAAATCGATATTATTGCAAGTTGTAAATATGGCCTTGTCATTAATATTTATATAAAACATGAATATAGTGTTTATTTCATCACAGTATGAATACGTAAGAACTTGTAATGCATGTGAAAAGTTGTACTAAAATACGCTATTTGAAGGGGGCATGGCCTAAATGCAAATGTCCGATTGGGATTATAAATTTTACAGACCCCTGGTCTTGACCACATAATTTTCGGTATTATTTGGCGGGTGATATTATCGTTATGCAAATCCTTTGTGCGATGTCACGTATCTACCTCAAACACATTGTAATACTTCCTCAGCTGATTGTGGTATGTTTGTACTGTCATACCCAGTGTGCGTGCGTACGTGCATGCTTGCGTCTTAGTCCGGACTAATGCCGGTTTTATAGTGCTATACCACCGAGATATTATGCTACAGTTCAACATGAATACCCCACTCAGACACAGAATACCGAGTCCGAGCCAACCAGTCCTTGTTTATCCCCTTAATACCAAGTGCCAGGCAGGGTAACAATAAGTACAAGATCTTGTTACATACCCATAGAGTCTGGATAGTACCATCATTTCCACCTGGCCTGCCCATTCCTGAAACAGTGAGAGTGAGTGGGCCATTTAGGTTTTACTCAGAAACATGACAGCACTTTGTAAACATTTACAACTTAACACAGGTACAGGGAGGACAGTAAGAAACATGAATGTGGCAATTTTGGGGATTCAAACACATGACCAGAGGATCCTGCTCCGGCAAATGGAGGCAACTCTGCAATGCAAATTGCATCCATCACCTTCTACCCATGGCCTGCCGTTCATGCATCAGTCATTTCCTGCTTTCATGAGCATCAATATGTAGCTATTAATTGGAATAACATCCTAATTAAATGTCCATGGAGAGAGAAAAATAAAAAAAATTAAAAAAATGTCCATGGAAATGTAATGCAGGCCAACAAGAAGTCAATCATTTCTTTGCAGATTTCTTTCGACACAAGGAAGGCTGAAGTAGTTTTATTGAACATTAACTCATTTTATTCACAGATAGTCCAACAAAACAATGCAAAGTGTCCTTTGGTAATTTATTTGTACTTCTCGTGTTATTTTTTTGTACCAAGGTGGTAATTATTTAACATCAACCCCTGATCGATCCCTGGTCTTCGGCATGAGGAGAAAATGCTTTAACCGCAAGGCTACCCCACCACCCCTGTTCCCTTTAGAGAGCAGCAAAATAAACCAATCTTTCATATGCAGGTTTTATCACTCACTCACACAAAAATCCTTTTGGCCCACTGAAAATGTCAATTTTGAAGTTATGGAAATCACTGGGATATTGGTATGCAACCAATCAGTCAGGTTCAAATGGAAGACAGGTCTTTACATTTCTCACTTGTATGTTTTAGACAAGAATATGGTGAAAATTTGCGAAAATGGCAGGTTTGTCAAACTTGTCAAACTTGACGGTACAATTTTTTTTTTTGTTATTTAACACAGCAATATTCCAGCAATATGACGGCATTCTGAAAAAAAATCGAGTCTGGACCAGACAATTCAATGATTGACAGCACGAGCATTGATCAATGCAATTGGGATAAGATGAAATGCATCAACCAAGCCAGCAAGCCTGACCACCTGATGCCATTAGTCGCCTTTTACAGCAAGCATGGGTTCCTGAAGACCTTTTTTACCTCGGATCTTCACGGGTCTGACCTATGAGTAAGTCTGTGACCCATGCACGCTAAATTTGCACATACAGACCATACTTGCAACATGGTGTACAGCCACTGTTGTACGTTTCACATCACCCACTTGTACGGGGACTTATGTACACTTGCTCAGAGGACATATTCAACCTCAGAAGTCGGCAGCAAATGTCAGTAAAAATATCTCTATTGATGTTGATACAGTTTTAAGTAATAAATCCAGGTATAACCAATAATTACTCACTTTTGAATTCTGTAATCTAAAAATTCTCTCTTCAAAGGAACCTTCAATAAACTGAAAAGGGCATAATAAAGAATTTCACATTTCCATGGTTACTAGTCGGAACAAGAGGTGCCAGTTAGGGAAACAAGAATAGTTGTCATGTCAAGCCCAGGTAAATGTCTCCTTAAACATGCAGTTTTGGATCGTTAGTCAGGTGTTTGGTCAGGTGTCATTAAATTCATCAGCATGCTCATGCAAAACTGCTGTGACTATCCATGCTCAATAACTACATTACGTATACCAACAAGTGTCAATTTCATCCAAGCCAAACTAGGATGTAAGCTGGGGGTGGAGACACCAACATGGGCCGGGGATACAGGCTGGGGGTGGGGATACAAGCTGGGGGTGGGGATACAAGCTGAGGGTGGGGATACAAGCTGAGGGTGGGGATACAAGCTGGGGGTGGGGATACAAGCTGAGGCTGGGGATACAAGCTAGGGGTGGGGATACAAGCTGGGGGTGGGGATACAAGCTGGGGGTGGGGATACAAGCTGAGGCTGGGGATACAAGCTAGGGGTGGGGATACAAGCTGGGGGTGGGGATACAAGCTGGGGGTGGGGATACAAGCTGAGGGTGGGGATACAAGCTGGGGGTGGGGATACAAGCTGGGGGTGGGGATACAAGCTAGGGGTGGGGATACAAGCTAGGGGTGGGGATACAAGCTAGGGGTGGGGATACAAGCTGAGGCTGGGGATACAAGCTGGGGCAGGGATACAAGCTGGGGGTGGGGATACAAGCTGGAGGTGGGGATACAAGCTGGGGATGGGGATACAAGCTGGGGGTGGGGATACAAGCTGGGGATGGGGATACAAGCTAGGGATGGGGATACTAGCTGGGGATGGGGATACTAGCTGGGGATGGGGATACAAGCTGGGGATGGGGATACAAGCTGGGGATGGGGATACAAGCTGGGGATGGGGATACTAGCTGGGGGTTGGGATACAAGCTGGGGATGGGGATTCAAGATGAGGATGGGGATACTAGCTGGGGGTGGGGTATACAAGCTGGGGATGGGGATACAAGCTAGGGGTGGGGATACTAGCTGGGGGTGGTGATACAAGCTGGGAGTGGGGATACAAGCTGGGGGTGGGGATACAAGCTGGGGATGGGGATACAAGCTAGGGGTGGGGATACAAGCTGGGGATGGGGATACAAGATGGGGGTGGGGATACTAGCTAGGGGTGGGGATACAAGATGGGGATGGGGATACAAGCTGGGGGTGGGGATACAAGCTGGGGATGGGGATACAAGCTAGGGGTGGGGATACTAGCTAGGGGTGGGGATACAAGATGGGGATGGGGATACAAGCTGGGGGTGGGGATACAAGCTGGGGATGGGGATACAAGATGGGGATGGGGATACTAGCTGGGGGTGGGGTATACAAGCTGGGGAGGGGATACAAGGTGGGAGTGGTGATACAAGCTGGGGGTGGGGATACAAGCTGGGAGTGGGGATACAAGCTGGGAGTGGGGATACAAGCTGGGGGCGGGGATACAAGCTGGGGGCGGGGATACAAGCTAGGGGTGGGGATACAAGCTGGGGGTGGGGATACAAGCTTGGGGTGGGGATACAAGCTTGGGGTGGGGATATGAGTTACACTAGGCCAGCCCACCATTCATCTTTGACGAGGAGATACTGAAGGTGGTTGGCTCTATGCCACATCAGCACAATCATAGTTCATTACACCATAAATCCTCATTTGGATTTTACAGTTTACTCTTCAAAGAAAACACTTTTTACAACAAGGTAAATCAATGTTCAAACATAAAAGAAACATGACAATTTTTGGATAATGTTGGGACAATGCTGCAACTATGTTGTACATTTTGAGAGGCTAACTTCCTGACAAGGTTCTGGCCAATGTCTTTCAAACCAATCTCATTTTGTGCCATACCCCCCTACATTTCAACAATATGACAGCATCAAACATCAACAGCTGCATCAACGTTGAGTCTGAAACTACGTCATTATGTGATAGCAACTGCAACAACAGTGACTATAGCTACGTCAACATTGTTATTGAGTGAATTTGGAGAGAAACATACTGGTTTTCAATGTAGAGCTTGGTTACCCGTAGATTAAACCACCCTAAATTAAATTTGAAAGAGTAGTAATCAAGTAACTTCCAAATCAATGGTAGAAGATTGTTTTACACTCCAGTCAATACAATAATCAAGCCTTATCTTGGCAAATACGAAATCTAGCTTTAGAAAGGCAAACCAAGGTAGATTTCACGAGAACGATCCACACTAAAATCAACCTGTGACCACAAAATCTACAGTTCAGAAAAAACAAATTAGAGATCTTGTATCATACCCTCTTTGTAATTGTATCATAGTAAGTTGACAAAACATTTTTTAATTGAATAGTAATATAAGGGGTTTAAGTACTGCAGAAAGTGCATCCAGTAAGCGCATATGTATGGAATAAATGCAGAAAAGTGCATCCAGTATGCACTTATGTATGGAATGGATGCAGAAAAAAAAATGCACTGAGTGCCAAGGGACACAATAATATTCAGTTACAAATTCTTTACAAATATGAAGTTCCTGAAATAAAGTAATTATTAAATCTTACAATCAGTACGCCACACCATTTCATTACCTGGTACTTTACAGGACCTTCATATTTCCTGGAAATCCTCTGGACCACCAGTTTTGTAGGTCAAGTTAAAACCCCGGTAATATGCTATGTTTATCTTGATGAAATAGCATTTCTTTTTATTTCTAAGTCTCTATTTTCAGTTTTTAAGCATCTGTTTCTAAAGTTGCAGTTAATTATCAAACAAGATCACAAGTGAAATGATGAGCTAAAGGATAAAGTGTTTATTATTTACCTCGAACAGTCCAGGTTAAGGTGATCATGAGTATCATGATAAAATACAGTGTTAGTGCCAGTTGTGCTACATTAGAGTGAGTGAGTGAGTTGGGTTTAACGCCACTTTCAACAGTATTCCAGTTATATCACGCCGTGTCAGCTTAATGTGGGAGGAAAGCCCCAAGTGATGCAGGTCTCAGACGTTTACCACTTCGGTGACACCCACGAGCACGGGTATGGTGCTGACAAACCTAGAAACATAATCGGGGCGAACCGGGATTCGAACCCACAATCATAGGTTTCTGGTATGCCCAAGGGACGCAACTCTGCACAGCGAATCGCGGCACCTTAGACGACGTGCTACATTAGAACTTGGTGATCTGGGACAACGACTCTTTCATGAAACCACAAAAGGATCATGGTTGAGATTGTTTCCTATAAGGGACCAGTCATTTATTACGAGGATGCGTGGGTCAGAGGTTCTTGATGCACTTTTGATGAACAACCCTCCCCTAATGCTTGTTATATTTTCAGACGACCCTCCCTATGTCCTTGTACATCTTGTTCATTGCCCTCCCTGGAAAGACAAACGCAGTATAAATTTTATTATAAAATGTCCATTTTTTCATGTCCAAAAATGTGTCATATTTTTATAGCCCTCCACTAGAGACTGTCATATTGAATGGTGACCCACCCTGACTCCCTATCCCCAACCCAGCCCTATAACAAATCACCAGTCCCTAAGTATGAAATCAGTACAAAATACAAGTCATTTACTTTAAACTCCAGTGCAATATTCATACAGTCATCTCTTGATGCCTATACTCACCGCCAAAAGAAACGCAAACAATAGAAACATATAAGAGAAGAATGTGTGTTAAGGAGAGATGTTTCCAATGTGTACCAATTAATGACAAAACTAACAATCAGTGAAGTGTAAACACAGTGTCTGTATACGTATCGTATTATGCTACATGATTTCCAAACTTTACACGCTAATCCTGCCGAGACAAATGGTGCATCTCGAGTCATGGATCTAAGACGTCACATGTTATGAATTCATAAGCATCGGTTCACACATCATGAAATAAGTTCATTTGTGCATCGAACCAATCTAATGTCTCTTGAATATGAGTAATTCTTCATATATTAACAAACATGTATGGTATTCACGTTTCTTTTGTTGGTGAGTATATATTCAACAAATATTAAAGTTCACACTGAACATGAAATAGTGAAGGGGTCTTAGAATGTTATTGAATTCAGCAATATTGTAGCACTGTGTTGTTTGTTGCTTAATGCCACACATTGTTGACTTATTTATAAGAATTGACTTCAATATTTTTTGCATTTATCCACACAAATGTTTTTGCACAAATCCACACATGGATTTACAGTGTTTACATCGGTTTCAAAGTAATACCATCATAAATGCAAAAATATATTGAAGTCAATTCTGAGTGAGTATGGTTTTATGCCGCTTTTAGCAATATTCCAGCAATATCACGGCGGGGGGACACCAGAAATGGGCTTTACACATTGTAACCATGTCAGGAATCAAACCCGGGTCTTCGGCGTGACGAGCGAACGCTTTAAGAACCAGGCCGCCCCAAGTCAATTCTGAAATGAATACAGACCACTACTTACAGGTTCAAACTCGTCTCGATGCCTCCAGAGATAATCTGCACACATTTGCCGGATCCTCAGATGGTAGGACTGAGTCAGGAACAGCTGAAAAAATATGTTCTTAATTTGACGAATATTTTTTCAGCACATGTTGAAGTTTTGATGACGAAGAATGGCTGCAGATAATTTGGCATCCATTATATATCTTTGGCATTTATGTCATCCACAAAACTATATTTGCCAGTTTCGATAACTTGTGACACAACCCCTTCCTTCAACAGGATCAAGCTGACACATCATGATAGAACTGAAATACTGTTCGAAGCAACCATAAACCCAACACACTCACTCACTCCAATCACTACCTGGAGAGAGAATTGCCTCTTATTCAAATTGGTCATTCATGACGGACTGTCTGAGAGACCATAGGCCCATAGTTCGACATATTTACTAGGGATGCAAGTTTCTTGTAAACTAACAATGCACGATGTTTGTTTGTTGTTTAACGTCGCACTCGGCAATATTCCAGCTATATGAGGGCGGTCTGTAAATAATCGAGTCTGGACCAGACAATCCAGTGATTGACATCATGAGCATCGATCCATGCAATTTGACCACCCGATCTCGTAAGTCACCTTTTACCACAAGCATAGTTGCCTTTTGATGTACAATGCAATATTTTGTAACAATGTAACACCTGAGGTTGACCATCTTCCCAAGACAGGAGAGTTAACTGACTATAAAAGTCCAGTTTCCACCCTTGCCGAACTAGGCTGGTATTACATTTTGGCTGGACTAACGAGTCTATGCATAGTCCAATCAAAATTGCTCAACAGAATTGAAATACGGTTCGTAAACTGTCCTGAGATTTCGGTCAATTACAGGATTTGCAAAGCAGGTGCACCGCCAACTCGTTGTCAACAGATATTTTCCAAACCTTTTCATGTTTTTAATCAAGGTGCTCGCGTGATTTGATGCACTTCGCAATGCAAGTCCCGTTTTATCACAATATAGATTTTGATTATGGATCAGATTATCTCGACTGGGCGCCGCCATTTTGTTTGAAACAAATGCAAATGGTGGCATCTGATTGGTCCATAGGAGAGGCTTAGAAGGGACATAACTCATAATAACCACTAGTGGTGCTACGATCGAGCCCAGGAATTCCAGCTTAGTTCGGCAAGGGTGGAAACTGGACTTTTTTAAAGTAAGTTAACTCTCTTGCCTCGGGAAGATGGAGGTTGACATGAGTATGCAACACAAATTTATATTTGGGTAAGATGTAAACTTCTTTGGGATATATTTGTTTCTTAATTGAAGATTGAGTATACCCACAAAATGATATTCATTTTCTACAACATGAAGATCACAATAAGTACAGATATTTTTTTTGGAAATATTCCTTTAAAGATCTTTAAATCATAATAACCTGCTCTGAAATGAGCTAGCGAGACTCGAATCGTTGTGATTGTAACAGATAGTTGATATTCTCAGAGCTCCAGATAAGCTGGGTATCTGTGTAAAATACGCATAAGAAATGCAGAAATGTGCAGTAAAATAAAATCCAAGCGAATCAAATATGCAACGAACATTACAGATACGCTAAAAAAATAAACCTTGTGCTTATCATCAAAATATTGTGAAGTTACCCTGCGTATTCGAGTAGGTAATCAGCAACTTATTTTGAAATTATGAACGGGCATTCTGTCAACCTTGCCAAACTCCACGATGGCAGTTACATCATGATCATTTGCCATCACACTTTCTTGTGGAAGTATCGTGGTATTTTTGAGTCCTATAAAGCTCTCGAACCCACACGACAGTTTGCAGGGACTAGATGAACAGTGTTTTTAAATATTTAACTTAAATACCCACATGTGTAAAAACTAGTGGGTAACAGAAATTTGAATACCCAGATAGAATTACTGATACACAATGATTTTAAAATGCATGGGTAAAATACCCACAACACCAAAAGCATATCTGGAGCTCTGTATTCTTTGAGTATAAATTGCTGTTTGAAGAGAGAATATGAATATTTACATTTGCTATTTCTTAATTTCCACATTTGCTGAAAACAATCTTCAGCTCTTTGGAGTACTAATAACAAACATTTTGACATGTCCAATGCCTGGATCCATCACACATATCAAAGGTCTAAACTGAAAAGAGTGATTTTGATATTTGTTGTCCCATTATTTTTAGTGCGATAAGTGTTTATAATTGTGAAAGCTGGTGTTATATTTGTAAGAGACTTATTAGATAAAAATGCAGTGTTTCCAGCAGAAAAAAAGTAATATGTTTACAGTTATCAATCATTTGCCTGTTGATAATAAATATAAACAGCTTGTATTTAAAATATATCATAATAATATTCCCTGTAATCAGTGTTCGAAATACCTTCCTGCCCGACCGTCCGAGACTGGTTGATTTCAACTCGGGCTGCCAGATTTTCAAATCCCCCTGCCCGACGGTCGGGTTATATTTCATATGTAAAAATATTCTAAATATTTCCCGATGATAAGCATTATTTATATGATGTATTCTAGGATATTAAATACAAATCTGACCTAAAAAGTGTTTGCTATTTCTTTTCTTGCATTACTTCATGTTCAATCAATTCGATTTAAAGTTTTAATCAAATTATCCTGAGAAACATATGATTATAGTGGGCAGGCAGGTTTTGGTCAGGGCTGGCAAGTATTTCAGCTAGCCAGTCCTGTGGTCTGGCTGAAAATTTTAGGAGTTTCATACCCTGCTGTAATAAATACCTGCATAAGATGTAGACTCTGATGTCTGTGAAGAATGTGGTCAAGTATACTCTCCAACACTATTTATTTTACTGTCAAAATGTCAATAGATTCTGGAATGTATCTTAAAAGCAGTTCATCCAGAATAAGGATATAGGATTAGTGCCAGTATGTCTTTACATGGCTCATATTAAAAGCTCATTCTCAACCCTTTAATTATATATTATTAGCAAAATTTTATGCATGTCACTCAAGAGTAATAAAAGTTAACAGTATTTTTGATAATTTTGTAAAAGAACTCCAGGATATTATACACATAATACGACAAAGCAAACATAAGGATAATTTAGATTTAATTTAAAAATAGACTTATTCTTATATCAAGTTAATTGATATATTAACTGTTTTTCTGGTACTTATTATTAATGTTATTATAACACCAAGAAAGCTTAAATATGAGTCTGTAAGGGTCAATTGTAAAACCGTTGCAACTATCATGAGGATAAATGTTTCAAATAAAAAAACAAGAACCGTTAGTTTTTACCAGTAATTTATAGTGTTCATGTGAAAATATATTCAGTGGGCATCTGCTACATTCCCAAGAACAATTCTATTTGGTACTAATTTGGCATTTCTATGCTGAAAGATGGTACTTTTTCTGTACGATAATTTTCTATAACCCGATATTTCTGATCCATAAAGTATTTTTTGCATTATGTTTGTATCGAACACTTGAAAGTATAAATGACAGGGGAGATTTTATTTTAACAAATGTTGCAGTATTGACAACTTTCTTGGCTTTAACAGATGTAGATTCTAGACATTTCTCTTACTCTGTGCAGAAGCCTCCGCTCTGTATGTGCGTGCATGTCCTCATCCAGACTTCATATCATGGTGTTTTAGTGCTAGCCCTTAACATGGATAGCCCTCTCAAGACATGTTGGAATCGAATGCCAAAAGAGTAAAATACACAAATTAACGCACCAGTGGTTTTCTCAATTTCAACTTTTAAACAAATAAAATAATCAAATCCTGCTTGGTCTGATCCGTTATACAAGTCCGTGGTCTGATGGACATATAGAATCTACCTTCATTAATTTGATGGTTCATAAGAAAGATATTGTTTGAGAACTGGCGGCCTTGCTGTCTTAGCTAAGATAAATCTTAGCAACTTACGACTAAAATTATGACAGACATGCAATCTATTCTTGAAGCTGGTTGGCCGGAGGGTACTGTACGAGTCGCTAGAGAGTAATGGCCCACACATCCTGCCCAGAATATTTTTTTCTAAATAGTTACAGAATTTAAATAGGTAATGAGATTCAATCAAGTCAGTGAGCCTGACCACCTGATTATGTTAATCACCTCTTACGACAAGCATAGAAGTGTTTTACAGCAAGCATAGGTCACTGAAGACCGATTCTACCCCGATCCTCAAAGGCAGCCATAAGCAGGCAATCCTACCATTAAGGTATGGACTTTGAATGTGCATATCAAAGCGTGTCCTCAGTGTCCTGCAAGTTAAGTAAGCAGAAGTGTTGGCATTATACCTGAGGTAATGAAAAACGAGAAAAGAACAAGTGTTTTGATTTTAACTCCAATCTGAACACTTTTTCAGTTATGTATCACTGCATGAGTTAAATCTAGGCAACTATGCTTGTCGTAACAGGCGACTAACAGGGTCTGGTGGTCAGGCTTGCTGACTTGGTTGATGTATGTCATTGTATCCCAATTGCATGGGACCCGAGAAGATTCCGGGGTAGAATAGGTCTTCAGCAACCCATGCTTGCCGTAAAAGGCGACTATGCTTGTCATAAAAGGCTACTAACAGGACCAGGTGGTCAGGCTCGCTGATGTTGTTGATGCATGTCATCGATACCAATTGCGTGGATCGATACTCATGATATTAATCACTGGATTGTCTGAACCAGACTCGATTATTTACAGACCGCCGTCATATAGCTGGAATATTGCTGAGTGCGGTGTTAAACAACAAACCAACCAACCAATTGCATGGATCGATGCTCATGACAACACTCACTGGATTGTCTGGACCAGACAGGATTATTTACAGACCACCATCGCATAGCTGGAATATTGCCGAGTGGGGCATGAAACAGCAAACAGACATGTCAGCTAAATATGGGAGAAAGCATGTTTGATATAAGCGATAGCCCACAAGCTTGCATCTGTCCCAGCAGGAAGGAGTGACAACTAAAGGCCAAAACCATGCTACAATCTCTATAACAAAACAAACATTAAAAAAATAACCATACCATAACTGCAATTTAATTATTTGTGGTAATTACAATTCCCAGTTCGAATTTTAATTCGTTTTAACTCCTATAAGGTACATCAACTCAAAACCTGTCAATCAATTTTTGAGTTCTTCTGCTTCCACCGCAGCCCAACAGCAAACACATCACACGATTTCGTTTACCTGGTTTGGATTTCAGAATTGTTTGGATATCTGAAATCTGTGTAATTGACACGTTTACTAATTCTAGGGACGAGTGTACGAGGCAATTTTTAAGTCTTTCGAGAACGCTGTTATATCCTACAACTTAAAATAACAAAAGGAGAAAGTGTAACTGCAGTCATGTGCGCTGTCAACATGCTTGTGCCATGCAATCCGCATGTGCCTGTATGGACGCTGGCATTACGCTGTGGTCACTTCCAGTCAGTTTTTTGTATGTCAGCGTAAACAACGAATTGGACCTCGAAATGAAAACAAATAAGTTGGGCCTGTTGACATGAAGTGTAGCTTTGGCACAACACCCATCCATGCAGCAAATTAACGCCAAAGTTGGCAAATAATCAACAAGTAGCAACAAATGGCCAGTGACAACAGTAAAGACTGAAGTACCGATGCCAAATCCGAGGGTTTCTCACCTTCTCCGACACCGCACGGAACAAACAGGACCCGTCTCTGACAATTGTTTTCCTGCACAGGCCCAGCTGCGCAAGATATGCATCCATGTTTGCAACAAGTTTCGACATTTCTTGTGATTTCGAGCTCATTTTCTGCTCTCTTCGAAAAGCACGTTGGTTTTCGCCCAACTAGCTCATGCAAGCACCTTGTGCACGTGCAATTGTGGGGGGTCTCCGTCTCGCATTGTGATTGGTTCACTTGTCCGTTTCATGTTGCCGACGGCTACTGTTTTAAGGACGATATTGACTGAGAATTTAATTTTCTAATTGATGGTTAAATGGTCACACCGTTTTCAGAAGATCACAGCTGTTACAGTATTGAAAAAAACCGCCCACCTTAAATTACATTGACCACATTGGCGATAAATGGCACCTAACGAAATTAGAAACGTGTTGTATTCATATGCGTCTTAAAGATAGATTTTATGTTTGATTAACTCAGTTCGCGTAAACATTATAATGCTAAATTACACAAAGTATTAAAATTAGAATTGCATCACAAATATTGCAAATAAACGCATGTAACACATTTCAAACTAAAAAGCGTGGATGGCTGTTTTTAATTATTCGCCCTATATAACGAATATTGTGTTTCCGAATATTTTTATAATTATTTGGGTCAATATTGCAGTAAGTTCTAATATATCGCGGATTTTCCTTTAACGTCAGTTAGGGTGTTAACATCATGGTGCCAAGATCGTTCACCACGTTTCACCACGTTTACCCTCTGTTCAGATGCACATATCTGTATAAAGTTGTATCATATAGAGTCTTGATAGTTATTTCATAAACGTGTCTTAAATATTGATCCTGATGATTTAACTAGCAGAAAATAGAAAGTGGATGATGTTGGTATTGTTTTCAGTTCCAAATTATTTTTATAGAAATCCTCAAAGCCGATTTTTTAAGGGTATAACTGCCATATATGATGGAGATACACATGCAGCTGTGCTGAGGAATTGTGAACTGCTGTCACATGGAAAAACACGCATTATCGCAAAATAAAATGCAAACAAATATATGCGTGTTGATATATGTGCATAATATGATGAAGATGTTATCCATGCATGGATGTACAAAATATTTCCATCAATTAATGGGTAGACAGTAAACTGCGGTTATAACGAACTTAAAAGGGACCAGTAATTTTATTTCGTTTTAACCGAAGTTCGTTATGAGCAAATATATAACATATATACAGAAAATGGGCGGGACACAAAAAAACACAGTTCGTTATAAGGGTGTTCGTTATGAACGTAGTTTACTGTATGTGTGTAGGACAGTGTCGTTTATGGTGACCCTTCAATAATCTTAGCCATGCTGTTGTTCTTTCACTCGGTTCCATCCATGAAGATTCCGGGATAGAATAGGTCTTCAGCAACCCATAGTTGCCGTAAAAGGCGACTGTGCTTGTCGTAAAAGGCGACTAACGGGATCGGGTGGTCAGGCTCGCTGACTTGGTTGATGCATGTCATCGATCCCAAATGCGTGGCTCGATGCTCATGATATCAATCACTGGATTGTCTAGTCCAGACTTGATTATTTACAGACCGCCGTCATATAGCTGGCATATTGCTGAGTGCGGCGTTAAAAGAATGTATCAACCATGCAAGTCAGCGAGCCTGACCACCCGATCCCGTTAGTCGCCTTTTACGACAAGCATGGTGCAGACCTTCTAACCCCGGATCTTCACATGTCTCACCAAACAAGAAGTTCAAAGACAGGGTCTGCTTGGAGTTGAAAGGATTACACGAGTTTTGCGTTCAGCATTGCTGGATTATGGCTTTGATCCCGAATCGGCGACAATCCGTGCACATTTATGTTTGCTTGTTTATAATAACACCCCGTGAAGATAAAACGATTGATGTCTGTGTTCATCAATCACTTCAGGCAAACGGACATATTAATATGTTTATGTAAAGATAATAAATATAGCAAAAAATGTACGTATTTACAACAACGAAACCCCTAACACGTGGTGCAAGCTTTAAGGCACCAGCTTTTCTTTAAATCGCTGGTGAAATTAGTAGATATATAACTGTATTTTAAAATTGGGGTCCTTACAGTAAATACTCTGGAAAACCATGAAAAGAATATGATAATAAAGTGTGTGTTCCAATGAAAATACATTTCATCGTTTGCATAATTATATAATTTTATGAAATGATTTAATAGCGTAAATGTACTGTGTTGTAAAATGTCCGAAATGTGTACTCCTTCTTTGGATAAATCAGAAACATTGTCTGATATTATAGCTCACAAAAATGTAAATGTCTTGTACGTGCCGGGGCGGTCGGGTAGCCTAGTGGTTAAAGCGTTCGCTCGTTACGCCGAAGACCCGGGTTCGCATCCCGACATGGGTACAATGTGTGAAGCCCATTTCTGGTGTCCCCCGCCGTGATATTGCTGGAATATTGCTAAAAGCGGCGTAAAACCAAACTCACTCACTCATTCTTGTACGTGCCTGGGCCCCGTTCCACAACGCGCTCTTAGTTCTACGACTATATCTTAAGCCAATGCTATGATTATCTCAGCACTGAGGCGGCGTTAGTTGGACGGGTCCATGGTCGGCATATTGGTCTAAGAGTTAGTGAGTAAGTTGGGTCTTACACCGATATTACCAATATTCTAGCTATACATGAGTAACAACGGGGAAATTGGCTTAACACGTTGTATACCCACGTGTGGAATCGAAACCCGGCCTTAGGCGTGACGAGCGAACGCTTTAACCACTCGACTAACCACCGCCCATTTGTCTGAGAAACAAGGGAAGAGGAACAGACTGTTAAAAGTTACAAAGAGGTGCAGTTGTTCACATATTGATACAAGCACGGAAATCTGCACGGTCGGCGCCTTGGGCCATAGTAGCTCTGAAAGGACCCGAAATCCATGCTTGCGAAAGGCGACTAACGGGATTGGGTGGTCAGGCTCCCTGACTTGGATGTTGCATGTCATCGTATCCCAGTTGTGTCGATTGATGCTCAAGATCTCAATCACTGGAATGTTTGGTCCAGATTCGATTTTGTACCGACCCCCTATCCTAACATATGGACATGGACCCCATTGATCTGGTTCTGATATTTTCTTTTATATTATCGAGTAAAACGATCATTTCAGTAACTCAACATATATCAATAAGGTTATCCAGTGGACACTGCATAATGATAGAATATACAGTAAAGTACGGTTATAACGAACTCAAAGGGACTACTTATTTTAGTTCGTTATAACCGTAGTTCGTTATAAGCATATATACAGCATAACTACAGCAAAGAGTCGGGACCAAAAAAGTAGTTCGTTATATCCGTCAGTTCGTTATAAGCGTGTTCGTTATAACCGTAGTTTACTGTATATAATATATACAGAACGGAGACCTATGATTGTGGGATGGAAACCCGGCTCGCCCCGATTCTGTTTCTAGCTTTATCAGCACCATACCCGTGCTCCTGGGTTTCGTCAAAGTGGTACATACCTCTGAGACCCGCATCACTTAATTGTATGTACTTTCCTCCCACAATAAGACATCGTCTATATCTCACGGGTATATCTCGGTACATCCTACACTAACCACTGAATCCATTCGTGAGGATTTCGCGAGCTGAATCTACCTGTCCTTGATTTTCATTAACATTTTACTGACCAATCAAACGCCGATACAAGGACAATCAAATGGACAAGGCAAGAAACCAAAGCCACCACCACTTTTAATGGACATGAATACACCCTTTCCATCAACAATATTTTTAGGGCTAAGTTTTGCGTGTTGGTGAGTTTTTCAATGATGAATTTCTCGATACGCGAACGCTGATTGGTCTATTAATTTCCTACACAACAAACCTGGTTCCCTGTCTCAGTTGCGCTACGCTACATTGTATATTACTCCCCAGAATGTTAACTCTACACCATAGTGCGGGTATCGTTTCTAAAAAGATATATCAAAGATAATAAAAATATCTTTACTTGTTGATAAAATTGTAATTTCTTCTCTAAACATCTGTGAAGATATAAAGGTTTGCTACGGTAGATAAACCAGGTATCACATGCAGTTAGTTAAAAGTTTTGCAGTCGTACAGACATGTTGTGAACATAGAGATCATAAATATTTAGAGTAAACATACTTTACCTAATGAGATACTAGTTTTACGAACCAGAATATTTATAGTTTAGTTTTGTTGAACCAATTAAAATCAAAACATAATTTCCCCTATTAAAATACTACGAACCTTCTGGTAAAACAAAATTTACGAACTTTCTGTAAAAGAGCAAGCAATCTGAAGCAAGCATTTATTTTCCGCGTCGTGATTTACATGCAAAGTATATCACGCGTTGTAGTGGGAGATATGTAATGTTATTGCAAAGAATTATGGTATGTTGTTTGTAGAGCTGTTATTATGCAATCCCCATCCCTTCAGAGAAATGTTCTAAAGGAAATGGGTTTTTATTTACAAATACCAATACATTTTCCTGCATAAAAACCTACAAAATAAGAAATGAAATGTGTTAATATATTTGTGGTAGCAATGTGTTCGCACAATAGTATTTTGATTAAACTTCACGTTTTTATGTACAGATATTAATCTTTAATGTGTTACTGGATAATGAAAGTATCATTTAAAAAATGATTTTCGTCCAGTTCCAATGCCTACATAAAGATTCCTATGTAGTTATGCCGAATCAAAATCAAATGTACACCAAGAAATGTACATTTCTTCAGGTCACTTTTGCTGTAACTCCAAGATACACATCAGAAGAGAATCTGTCTATACAACTTGCGATCTTGGTGAAATCCATGATGAATAATACAGTGTAATGTTTGTATGTAAGAATTATTGATTGTTTAGAAACAAATATCTACGAACAATTTTTCATAATTTTAAATGTAAACAAAATATTTTTAAAATATGGCCGTCAATCAGTTCGATATTGTCAAACCCGGGCTATTGTCTTTAAATGTGTTTTTTTACGCCTGCAGATGATTTTTTGTAAATACATTTCCGAATTAAGCGCATAACCGATATGTTGCAGCTTCCCAAACTTGCAATAATTTCAAAATGTCACCTTGCAAATATTATAAGGTGTTAAGGAGTCAAACCATGCATCTACTGGTTACATTTGGGAGTCTTCAGCAATCAGTGCAATAAAAAG